TTCCTGCCTGCCCGCCAAAGTCCAGTGGGGAATTTCCCAGCTGCCCGGCCTCCCGTGGCCCCAGTTGTCCAGCTGAGAACGGGAAAGGTGGGGCACACGGACCGTTGGGAGAGGCCCTGCTCCAGCACCCAGGTCCCAGCTGTGCCCTCCGAGGCCGCCCAGCTCCCTTCCACACCGAGTGCCCTCCCACCCCACCCACCATTGCCACAATGGCTCGCTCGGCCTGAGGTGCCCACAGACACCTGAATAGCTGGGGGTCAGACCTGAGGGCTGGGACCCCGGGAACCTGCCAGAACACCCCCTGTTATCACCCCATCTCCCACATCCCTCCCCGTACCCCTCCCCACCCTGCTGCCAGCCGGAGCACCCCTGGGAAGTGGGCCTATTTGTCCATCTCCCGGCCAGGGGCTCACAGCCTCACTGGCAGCTCTCTTAGGGGAGAGGCCTGAGTCACGTCCCACCACCCCCTACCATGGCCAACCTTGGGCCTCAGGGACCCACACAACGGGCTGTTCTCAGGCCACTCGGCCTGCCTTGCCCACCGCAGTCCCTTCCGGCTGGGCCTCACCGCCCCACACCCCCCACTGCTCAAGGCTCCAGTTTGGCTGGTCCTTGCCTTGGCCTGGGGCCCTTCCCGGCTCCCACGCTGTGTCACACACATCTGGGGGTGTCCTGTGGGAGGGCCAGTATCCTGTGGCCCACAGACCAACCAGGTCCCCTCTGTCCAGCCACACACAAGCGCGCCCTGTGGACCCACGGTCCCGCCGGGTGCCCGTCCTCCACCGCGCACCCTCCCCAGGGTCTCCAGCAGGGTCCAACCCTGGCTTCTGGCTGCTTTGAGGCTACACTCTGATGCCCAGGGTGATGCCCAGAGAACAGCTTCCCCACCCCCAGCAGGTTCTCCAGGCCCCCTCACACAGTGGCCCCCGCCCCCCTCAGCCTCCTGTTTGTCCGACGACACGTCCCTGTTATCAGCGGAGAACACACACAGGAAGTCCGGCTGGAAAGGGCCCATCCCAATCCCGATTACCCAGGACGGGGCATAAAAAGCCGCCCTTCCTCACCGGGGGGGAGCCTCCCTGCACCAAGCCGGCCACCCCGCACGGCTTCGAGGGAGGCTCCTGGGGACAGGCCAGGCGGGCTGGCCTCGGGAGGTGCCTCTGGGCAAGGGCCAGGGTGCATCCTCCGTCCCGGGACAAAGCAGCGGCAGCCATGGCCACGCCTGGGCTCCTGCAGCATCAGGTACGGAGGCCTTGGAGGGGCAGGGAGCAGATGGGGCGCCCCCACATGCGCTCACTCCCTCAGACCTCGGCGCCTGCTGGGTGCTCTGCAGCCTGCTCCCTGGCATGGTTGCAGAGGAGGGGTCCCAGTCCGCTTCCCTTCTGCACAGAGGAGGCTACCGAGGCCCCATGGCCCAGCACCTGCCGGTGGGTGGCCCAGCATGGGTCCTGGTCCATCCTGCTGACTCCAGCACTTCCCCCGAAGCTGCCCTTCCCCTGAGCCCACCTTCTGGCCTTCCTCTGCCTCTGCAGAGCAACCCCTGGGGTTGGCAGCAAAGTTCAGCTCTGCCAGGCCCGCCTCCAGGGCCTTGGTGCTGTGCCCTGGGGTATCCCAAGGGCTGGGGTCTCCTCAGCTTCTCCCTAGCAGTGGATGAGCACCCCAGTGGGGATCTGGGGAGGGCAACTGGCCCCGAGGGAGATGAACCCCAAAGCCAGATCTAGCCAGGATGAGCGGTGTGAATCCGGGGTGCGGCGCGTGGGGCTCAGGCTTCTGGATGACTTGGTGGGGTGTGGTGGGCAAATGGGTGGCCCTGTGGCTCCCCCTTAGACCTTGGAGAAGCCCTTGTTCCCCCATGCCTCAGCCCCAGGCAGTAGCTGAAGCCCCGTCCCAAAACCCCACAGCCACAGTGGGTTCTAGAAGGCCCCACTTTTTGTCTTAAACATCCACACCAAGAAGCCTGTCCAAGAGCCCCCACTTTCCAGACGGTGGGGCCTAGCCAGAACGGGGGCAGAGAGGCCTGGCTCAGGGCAGCCCAGGAGCCGCCCTTTCTGCTTCGTTGCCTCTGCTGGACTCAGGCAGGAGAGGTGGGCAGGCAGGTCAAAGGGTCAAATGACCGCAGCTCCAGAGATGAGGCCAGGGCAAGGGACGGGGCAGGGTGGCTCTCCCACCCAGAGGTCCCCTAGGCCTCACTCTGAACACTTCAGTGCCCAGGGCTAGGTAAGAACTGCCCTGCATCTGCTCAGGGCACTAGGAGGCCTAGGACTCCCCACTTCGATGAGGAACACCCGAGAGCAGCTGCTCTGGCCATCCCTTGGGCCAGGTGCCAGGGGCTTCCAGGCCTCCTGGTCCAGAGCAGTGGCCACTGGATTACACGGTGGGGCGGCCTCATTTTGGGGGCTCCTCTCCGGGCACCTGGGTTCCTCCTTTCCTCCAGCTCCCATGCGCCAAGGTAGCCCCAAGCTGGTGGCCCTCCCCCATCCATCTGCAAGCCCCTCGCCCAGCGCCCTGGGCTTTGTGGAGGGACCTCCAGCTCCAGTCACAGCTGCCTTCCATCCCCACGCCAGGGAGCCCAGGGCTGCAGAAAACAGCCCCATTTTACTGAGGCCAGGGGCTGTGGACCTGCGAGGACAACCAGCCGGGACAGAATGGGCTGGGGTGGGGGCAAAATGGGGGTCTGCAGGCCCAGCTCAGAAGGACGGCCCACAGCAGCACCCAAGGCTGGACCTGGGCCCCTTCCCAGCCCCCAGACTTCAGGGTGACCAGGACTGTGGGCGGACACTACCCACGCCTCCTCTCCAACCTGCAGCCCCCAGGGCCCGGGAGCCACAGGTGGCCCCGCCCCGAGGAGCAGCTGCAGCCCCAGTCCCAGGGATGACGGACTCTCCTCCGCCAGGTGAGTCCCAGCCGACCCTCACTCTGAGGTAACACGTCTCACACAGGCACCCACTCTGGCTCCGAGATAGGGTGCTGGCTCCCGCCGGGTCTGAGGGGCTGCTGAACTGGGCTGGCCGGGCCTCACGTGCTGCGGCGGCAGTCACAGTAGCAAGGATTGCGGTGGGGCGGTGACCTCAACATCACGTGCCCCAGGGCTGTTTAGCCCCGTCTTACACATTTGGAAATGGAGCCTGGAGAGGAGAGGTGACCCACCCAGGAGCCTCTGGCGGGACTGTGGGTGTGAGGAGACTCCTGGGGCCTGTGGATTCCCTGGGAGGAGCGTTCCGCCCTGGCCCTGACTGTCCTGAACACAGCAGGGACCCGGTGTCCCCGGTGAGGGTGCCTGATGCCTCAGACAGGGCCAGGTGGGGGCTGGCGCAGGGGCCCCCAACCTAACACTCGAAGGCCGGGAGGGAGGCCTGTGTCCCCCCCCCCCCCGTCCCATCTGGGCTCTGCCGTGTGGTCTCGGAGGCGTCCTGGGCCTCCGGGCCTGGCGTGGGGACGGCGGTGACGCCCACCGCCCGCGAGGCTGCAGGACCGAGCTCGGTGCTGCCCAGCGCCGGGTGCCCACCAGCGGCTGAGACGCGCGTCCTGGGTGGTTTTCGTCCTGGGGGTTTGAGAGCCAGCGAAGGGCCCCGTCAGTGCCAGCGCCCTGGGCGGCGACCCGTCCTCAGCGGCCGCGCAGCGAGCGCTCTGCCCGGGGACGCGGGATTCCGGAGGGGGCTGGGGGCCGCGGTCCGAGGTCCCTGTCCGCCCGGGGGCGGCCTGTCCGCCGCCGGGCCTCAGTTTCCCCGTCTGCACCGTGGGGGCGGGGCGGGGGCGGGGCCAGGCCGCCAGGTGGGGCGGGGCCGGGGCGGGGCGGGGCGGGGCTCGGGGCCCCCACGGCGCGGGCTCGGGCGGCAGCGGCGGTGGCGCGTGCGCGCCCCGGATCCGGCGGTGAGTGCGGAGCGAGCGGGGCGCGGGGTGTGGGTCTGTCAGCCGCCGGGGCCGGGGCGAGGCTGGGACCCGCGGAAGCCCCGGGGGCGGGGGACCTGGCGGCGCGCAGGGGGCAGCTGGGGGCGGCCCGGGGGTGGGGAGCGGGCCGGGGCCCCCGCGGCTGGGTCGGGCCGCGCCGGGAGAATGGGCCCAGCGGCCCCGGGAGCGGCTCCCCCTGGCGTCCAAGGACTGCGCGCCGGGAACGCGGGGGGCGCCGCGGACCCTCTAACCCCCGGCCCGACCCCGCCGCGCGCTCAGCCCAGCCCCTGCCCGCGCCGCCCGCCCCCGGCCCGTCTGGCGCCGCCTCTGCGCCCTCCCCCGCGGGCCCCCAGCCCGGCTCCTGCTGCGAGGGGTCCCCCAGTGCCTGCGGCGCGGCCAGGCCCCTCCCTCTGCGGACCGGCCTCCAGCGGTGGGGGCTGCGGCCGGGCAGGTGAGGGGGGCGGCGGGCAGGGTCCGCAGGCGCTGGGGGGACGGGACCGGACCGCTCGCCCACCTGGAGCCGCCGCCCCCTCCCCGCCCGGCCACCCCAGGTCGAGGCCGTGGCCCCCCCGGGGATGTGGGGCTTGCAGCGCCAGCTGCGGGCTTCCTCTGGCCTCGGGAAAAGCATGACTTTCAAAAATTGAGTCCGCACTTCTCAGCACTGCTTCCTCTCCAGACGACACTCAGGAATTGTGGGGGGTGCAGCGCGAACATTCGTGTGCGGCCATAAGGTCTGCGAGATTCGCCTCCCGCCAGGCCCGGCCTCCCCCTGCCCACCCCAAGCCACCCAGCCGCTGCCGCCTCTTCCCTCCCGGGTTCTACCCCCCAGTGTCGCCTGTCCTCCCACTTCGTCTTGCCTGGGGGAGGCACCAGGCCCAGCCTCTGACAGTGTCCTTCCCCCAGGGCCATCCCCAGAGTTAATCTCCAGCTAGCTCTGACCCCCGGACAAACTCCTGCCCAAAAACTGCTGTGATACCCCCGAACCTCCAGGCTGAGTCCCACCCCCAGCTGCCCAGGGCAGCCTCTGCCCTGCCCTCCTCTCCCCAGCGCACAGAGGACAGGAGACCCGGGAAGGAACCTCCCACTCCCAGGCCACCCTCCCCACTCCCAGGGACTGGGTGATGCGGTGGCAGAGCCCGTGAGAGGCCGGTGTGAGGTCGAGCTCCACACCGTGGGGCTGGGCCAGCGGCGAAGGCTCCGTGACCTCGGACAGTGTGACTGTTCATAGGACAGGCTGTCAGAGCCTCGGCGGGGCCTCGGAGACCCTATTCTGGTGGTGGCTGAGAAAACTGAGTCCCAGAGAAAGGACAGCCTTACCCCAGCCTCCAGCCCCGCCTGAATACTGGCCTTTCCCTGCGGGGGCCCTGCAGCGCCTGGGAAGGACCCCACCCAGCCCTTGGGAAGCACCCTTGAGAGGCCCTGGGTGGGACCCCAGAGCCTGGCTGCACACGGGACAGCCTCCCCTGCCCCCGCACTGCCACAGACCATTAACTCTGGGAGCGCTCATCCTCCCAGGAAGGCCCCCCGCCCCACCCAGGCCCCCAGCTCCTGCCACATAGCCAGGAGGGGGTTGGATTCTGGCTCCCATGACACTAGGGGGCTGCCCCCCACCCCCAGGGTGCGCCCGGCACGGCTACTGTCCTGAAAGCCCTGGAGGCTGACTGCACACGTCCCAGCATGCAAGGCACCCCTCTGAAATGAAGGTTGCCCATCTTGTGGTCTTAGAATCTGTGCGCCCCCAAACGGCTCCTGCTGGCTTGCGGCTGCTCATCTGCCCCCGGGGCCGGCTCCACACTCAGATGAGGAGAAACCAAAGCCCAGAAGGGCTGAGGCCAGCAAGTCCCTGGTGGGGCTGGATCCCAGCTCTGCCCATGGACACCCCGTTTGCACAGGCTGGGGTGCAGGCTCGCCCCTGCCCTGCTGTGAGGAGGGCCCTGGAACCAGGCAGGACGGGAGAAAGTGGCCCATTGCTGAGCCATCCCTCCTGGAGCCGGGGTGCCCCAGACCCCCAGCAGGATCCATGAGATTCCTGCAGCAAGAGCTCTGGGCGGCATCACCCCTGTGGCTGCCCAGCTCTGGCCCCAGCTGTTGGTGGCTGGTGAGGGTCTGGCTAGCTGGAGGAGGGGGCCAGGGGAGGAGAGGGTGGGCGCCGCCGGTGGAGGCTCCGGTAGAGGCGAGCTGGGCAGGCCTCATGGAGCAAGCACGGACTGCACCCGTGGCCTGGGGGCGGGGCATCTTCGGGGAGCCTGAAGGGCCGTGCTCTGTGCCCCAGGCCACCCAGAGGAGAAGGCCCCCCACCCGGAGGCACGGGCCATGTGGGGCTCTCAGGAGGTTCTGCTGGTGTGCTTTCTGGTGCTGGCAGCAGGTGGCACGGAGCATGCCTACCGGCCAGGGTGAGCCAACCGCTGGCCCCTGAGGGCTGGGTTGGGGAGACTGGGGCCCTCAGCCCTTCCCTGACGGCTTCCTCCTCGGCACCTGTAGGAGACTCGAAGGGGCTCCTGCTGAGGGTCCTGCCCTGGCCGCATGTCCCGTCATCCTTGGGTCCTGGGGCTGAGGGTCCTGCTCCGAGCCTCCCTGGCTGACCCTGTCATCCCCACAGCCGCAGGGTGTGTGCAGTCAGGGCTCACGGGGGCCCCATCTCTGAGTCCTTTGTGCAGCGCGTGTACCAGCCCTTCCTCACCACCTGTGATGGTCACCGGGCCTGCAGCACCTACCGGTGAGTGCCCACTGAGCCGAGCCTACCCAGCCCTGGCCCCCCAAGGCCGATCCCCAAGACGCCCCTGGCTGCCACACATCAGCCTGTCAGGGGTGGGGGATGAATCCTGGGGCCCCAGATGGAAAACTGAGGCCAGAGCCATGAGAGGACCAGCTGAGATGAGTGACCCAGGGCAGTCTGAGCCCAGGGGGATCCTCGACCACCTGCAACATGCCAATCCTTGTTCTCACCCCGACGCGTCCGAAAGACATCACCTCTGAGGCCATCGCCATGTTTAGAGGGGTCGCCCATCCAGTCTGCACCCCCCACTTCTGGGACACTAGCCCCTCCCTGCCCTGGCATCCCCGGCTGCAATCTACAGGGGATGATGCCCCACGCCCCTGGTCCTAGTTCACGGAGCTCCCCTGGGCATCCCCCTCCGAGTGATGGCCCCTAACAGGCATAGATGAGACCCTTCGATGCCCTGTGTGCCCACACAGGAGCCCACACCCCTAGTTCTCAGCTTCAGCCGGGACCTCCTTCCTGCGTGTGGGAGCTTCACTCCCTACTGGGGGAGGGCCTGGGATTTAGACTCTTGGAGGTGTAAGGAGTGCGCTGGTGCCCCCGGCCCACACTCTGCGGGGACCCACTGCAGGCCGGGCACACCTCGCCTCTGGGCCTGGATGCCCCCACGGAGGAGGCTGGAGATAGGAGGGCACACACAGGCCTGGGCACTGCCTCTGCCCCACACGGAGCACGGCTGGGCATCCAGCAGCGGCTTGAGTCCTGGTCAGCGCCAGAAGGTCCAGGCAGGGAAGCGGCTTGTGCAATGACACCCCTCAGTGCCATCCCTTGAGGAGATCCCCACGCTGGGGTGACCATGTCCATTCTGAGAGGGGACTGTGGATGCCCAGAGGGCGGCTGAGGGGGAGCGGGATGCCCCTCTGAGCTGCCCCGCCCACCCCACAGAACCATCTATAGGACCGCCTACCGCCGCAGCCCTGGGCTGGCCCCCGCCAGGCCTCAGTACGCATGCTGCCCTGGCTGGAAGAGGACCAGCGTGCTCCCCGGGGCCTGCGGAGCAGGTGAGGGTCACCCCTCAGCGACCAGTGTTAGCCAGGAGGGTGACCCTTCCCCAAACTTCCGGCAACACCCCTGCAGCTTTTCTTGACCCCTGAGCAAAGCACTTCCCTGCTGCAGAGCACCCTCCTGCCCAGCGGCTGCCCCCACAGGGTGCTGGGGACCCAACTGAACTGGTGACCCGCCTTCCTCACCCACAGCAATATGCCAGCCGCCATGCCGGAATGGAGGGAGCTGCGTCCAGCCTGGCCACTGCCGCTGCCCAGCAGGGTGGCAGGGTGACACCTGCCAGTCAGGTGAGGCTGGCTCCGCCCTGGGGGTCCCTGGAAGAGTCCTTGGGGCACCTCCTTGCATGTCCTGGGGTGACTGCCAGCCCATGAGTGGGTGTGTGTTAAGGGAGCTGAGTGGGTGGGACCTCTCCTGCAGGCATGGCCGCCTGACACCCCATTTCCTGCAGATGTGGACGAATGCCGTGCTGGCAGGGGCCGCTGTCCCCAGCGCTGCGTCAACACTGCCGGCAGTTACTGGTGCCAGTGTTGGGAGGGGCACAGCCTGTCTGCAGATGGCACATTCTGCGTGCCCAAGGGAGGGCCCCCCAGGCTGGCCCCCAACCCGACAGGTAAACTCAGCCCTGGCTGTGCCCGGCCTGGGGAGGTGGGCAGGCAGTGGAGATTGCCCTGTGGCTCTGCTAGTCATGGTGGGGGACACTGGAATCTGGGTGGGAAGTGGTGGGGGCTCCTTCTCCTGCGGGGAGGATAGGGAGGGAGGACTGCTGGGTTCCCAGGAATTGGGGGCAGGCTGCCTGGGCCTCATCTCAGCCAAGGCGCCGGAGGTGCCCAGTCCCGGGGTCCTGCCTGCGTCCCACTGAAGTGTTCTGGAAGACACCTGGCCTCTGCTGGTGACGGGACATTATTACTTTTGGTACGCGCTGTGACACTTCAAACTCGTACCGTGAGTAATAATGCGCCGTCCACAGCACCGCATCGAAGCACGGAGGAGACCTCAGCTCCGACCTCCCTCCACGTGGCGGGGACCCGGGCACCCAGGGACAGCGGGCAGCAGCATCCGCCCAGAGCTGCGCGCCCCGATGTGCTTAGCATGGCCTTGAGACCTCTGGCCAGCGCCAGGCAGGCGGCGGGGTGGACAGAGGCCTGGACCTGAGTCTTCTGGCTCTGCCTCTCCCTGGGACAGGAGAGAGCCTGGGGGGCGGGTAGGGAGACAGCCATCCCTGACCCAGCGCCTGGCTCTGCTCCCAGGAGTGGACAGTACGATGAAGGAGGAGGTGCGGAGGCTGCAATCCAGGGTGGACCTGCTGGAGGAGGTGAGGCCTGGGGTGGGGCAGGTCCTCGCCACAGCAGAGAGGGGCCCAGGCCGGGGGTACGGGCTTTGTAGCCTCCTGGGACCTTGACCCACGGATGGCTGGGGGTGGTCCGAAGAGGTCCTGGCCCCGGGGAGGCGGCTTCCTTGCTGCTGACAGCTGAGGGGGCCGTGGCCCGGATCCATGCCAGGCAGAGGAAGCTGGACTGGCCGGGACCCCCCAGGTCTGGAGGACCCAACTTGGCAGCCCCCAAGACTGCAGGCAGAGCCTGGATGCAGACCGGGCCCCCCCACCACTACCTTTGCCTTTACCAGGACAAAGAGCTCTCACCAGCCTTCCCTCTGGCCACTAGTCCCACTGTCCCCCTAGTTCTCCCGCCGGGGACCCCAGACCGCCTGGCCAGTGTGATGCCCCAGGCACCCCCCATGCCGCGGACGCTTCCGGCACAGCAGCTTCCTCTAGTGGCCGCCCAGAGCCCTGCTGCGAGTTCTTCCTCCAGCGGCCGCTGGGAGCCCTGTGGGGCTGGGGCTGGAGCTGGAGGCTGTGGAGTCCTTCCCAGGGGTCCTCCTTCAACCCTGGGGGGCGGAAGGCAGGGCTGGCCCAGGGTCATCGCCCTTCCGCACCCACAGAAGCTGCAGCTGGTGCTGGCCCCACTGCACAGCCTGGCCTCGCAGGCGCTGGAGCTGGGGCTCCCGGACCCTGGCAGCCTCCTGGTGCACTCCCTCCAGCAGCTGGGCCGCATCGACTCCCTGAGCGAGCAGATCTCCTTCCTGGAGGAGCAGCTGGGCTCCTGTGAGTGCCCCCTCCAGAGCCCTCCTCTCCTGTGGGGGCGGGTCAGATCTGGCTGGGTTGGGAGGCTGTGGGGAGCAGTGACCTCTGACCTTAGTGTCATCCCACCCTAGGCTCCTGCAAGAAGGACTCGTGACACCTGAGCCCCCAGCTGGACTGAGCCCCTCCCCTGCAGCCCCAGCCCGACAACGTGCTGGGGTCACCACTTCGGGGTGACTGAGCAGGAGGCTGGGCAGGACCCTCCTCCTCCTCCCCCTCTTCATCAGAAGGCTCCCAGAGTTCTGGTATGGGTGGGCTGGGGTCTTCTGTGTGAATCCACCCCCGCGGCATCCCAGGGCCTAGTGGCCCCTTTGCTGAGGGAAGGTACGAGCTCATAAGGTCTCTGCCAGGGCCTGGGACCCGTGGCATGGGAGCCGGGAGGCTGGGTGGGGCCTCAGTGGGGCCTGCCACCTGATACCCCGAAGAATAAAGATGACATGTGAGCTGCTGTGTTGTGGATGTAGTGAGGGCGGGCGCCAGCCAACAAATGGGGACAGGTGGAGTGGGCAGTCATGCGGGGGG